AGACTCCCCTCTGGTTCAGATAATCTATGCCAAATTCAACCTTTGTGTAAGTAGGACTGACTCCAAACAAGTTATAAGAGTCACTCTTTATTACTAGTATTAATGGAATTGAATTTGGCTCTCCTTGCATGTGCCATTTGGAATAGTTTATTTTTCACATGAGGTTTGGCAGGGATTTCTCCAAAATAATTTCCCCCCAAACTTACCCTCAAGAGCCAGCCTGTAAATTTCAAGATCCTTCTGCTTAGTTTGAACAGCTCTTTAGAATACACCCCAATCTGAAACCTTCGTTATACAGAGATAAGTAGTGACCATAAAAAGTTCTTGATTGTTAAGTTAATAATACATCCTAATGAAATGTTTTACATACTCTCTTAATATTTTAGTAACATATACACAAATACTTCTGATCCATGGTTTTCAAAGCAGCTATACTTTAAGTTATTGTGTGTCCCCCCCCCTTTTTTTTTTTTAAATTCAATGTTTTCTACTGATAATCTGTGGGCTCAGAAAATTTGGAATTCACAGCAGTTTCTGCTATATGGTTTCACATAGTACATAAAATTGTCAGCTCCTTCCATTGCGCTGGAAGACAGGAATGTTATTATTCTAGAAGTTGGAATTTTGGTTTCTAACCATGGTCCAACACAAACGTCTGTGCATTTTGGGAACCTAACCTATTTGAAATACAACATCCTGAACCTGGAATTAATTGATTGTGAAAAGTACAAACAGCTCCTTATTCATCCTGAAGCAAGCGTAGAACCCTTTGACACATTATGGAAAAATAATGCAGTTCTTAGCACTCCTTTTTTTTTGTTCTGGTTGATTTTTAAGTTGGATCCCTGCCAGGCACACAATAAAGTACTTGGCCTTTAGCACAGACAGGCATGATTCTTCTTTCATACTCTCAACTGGGAACTAACAAAACTCAGTACATTACCGATTTGTTTCAATCGAAATGTTCGCAGCTAGGATCCAGAGACAGGTTTTGTTATATCTTTAGGTTATTTATCAGCTTGCGAATCTGGTCTGCAAATAAGAAAAGGGCTTTTAGAACCACTTAACAAAAGGTTCGGTACAGCGAAGCTGATGCGGTCACTAACAGGTGAAGAACTATTTGCAGTGTGGCCGGTATTACATGCAGTCCTTGAATGTACATTGAAAAGATAAAGTTTCAGGATTTACTGCCACCCTGAAGGAAAGAATTGATGTTTTAAGTAACTGCATTTGTACAAAGTCTGTAAGACAATCCAAGTAAATCCCTCAAATAGATGATTAATTCCTCATTATTTAAATGCCCTTAAATACAGGTGCAGATACTAACTTCACGGCTTTTTCTTGACAGGTCCTTCGCTATTTCTCATGATCTGCTATTAGTCTGTGATTCTAAAGCCCCGAAAAAGAGTGCCTCATGAAAAAGCCCTCCAACTCCTAGGGACACTAAGTTCTTGCAGCTTACTGCTTACACAGTTCTCTCAAGGTCTGACTGATCCTGCAGTATATGATAATACTACATAGACATATTATGCCTCTTTCTGTAGACCCGGATTAGGTTTGTATAGGATACGTTCATGATCGCTTCGACTGTCTGATGTCCCACTAAGACACGAGTATGTACGCACATGCCTAAGCTCTGTCTTGAGCTGATACTTCCCAATATACCCTAGCTCTCAGGGTTAGGGTAGTCTCACATTACACTGCCAACAACAGGCATTCATTTTCCCAGACAATATTTATACTTATCATCAGCCTGTCCTCTGGTTAACTAGCTGAGGTTTACTTTAAGCCTTGTGATACACCCTGCAGAATTTGGCTTGTCGTTTATCCTAGTTATAAACCTGAAAGGGGGGGTGGCAGGGGTGGGGAGGAGTCCAAAGGATGCAAAACTCAACAACAAACCAAATCACAAAGGAACTGGAAAAGAATTTCAAAGGATCTGGCTCTATAGCACAGACAGTGCTATATACGTGTGTCTGTTTATGGAGACACACTCAACTGAATTATTCAGTTACTTACAAAAAGAGAAAGAACAGACTGTGAGGGAGAGCAGAATGAAGGCGCAAGAGAGCAAAAAATTCAACCAGCAACAGATGAGAAGAACAGAGGAGAATTGGAAAAAGGATGCAGGGGGGAGGAATGGATGATGAGAGAATAGCAGGCCTATTTAAAATGAATTTTTGACCTTATTTTTAAAACATTTATGGATCCCAATTGCCTGTCATGAGATCATTTTCCCTTACAATGCTAGCTTTTCAGCTGGCTCTGCACTTTAACTTGATTTATCCCATTTTAAAAAAAGTAGATTGTTAGAAATACCCCTTCTATTAGAAATTCTGTCCCATTACAGTGTCAGCTAAAGGCCACTTGTCAATGTCAGCTTTATCAGATAGAAATCTGCCTCATGAGTTCTCAGATACTTTTTTGGAGGACAAGACCCAGGGTCCATTTCTGAGGCTGTTGATTTGTGACAGGATAGTGTCTTTTCAAATTATCCTGTTATTTTCCAACTTATCTGCATGTTCCATGTGATGGTGGGAAGTGATCACAGCAGCTGCTGGACATTAGAAAGACAGCTTATAGGAAAGCTGGCTAAGGTAAAACAGCTGACTGACAAAAACATAGAAAGACCTAATCAAGTATTAAAAATACATAGGGAGACCCAGCATCTCCTTTCCAGCTGCAGCTTCCCCAGTGCCATAACCTCCTGTGGGAAGGAAAAACAACTTAAACCAGAAGGTTGTCCTCCTCCTCAGCTGTCTGTCAACTCTTTAAAAAAAGACCTGACATCCTGAAGATTAGAGTAAGTTTTTATTTATTTACAATTATGCAATTAGTCATGAGCATGTCTCTTCATTGATGAGTAAAGGTGGAAGAAATCAGCTGTTGTTCAACCTGTGTTACCACAGTACTGCTGAGGGTCAGCAGCCCAAGGTGGGAAAGACTCACTGCTTATAAAATATCTTGAGGACTGTCCTGGCAAGATGCTTTGAGACATTAGTTTTCTTTTTAATATTTTGATTCTATTTTTGTTTCTTCTTTTCTGTCTGAATAGACTGATGTAACATATGTATCGAAAGGGTAAAACTACATGTCAGAGTAGAAATTTCAGCCAGGAGTTGAAAGAGAGCAAGCTGGGGCCACAATATTTTCCAGACTAAAAGACACTGTCTATGAAAACAGGGCTGGATGGATCAATGGATGATATTGTTGCAGTGAAGAGACCAGAAGGCTTTGAAATTTGTAAACCGCTTCAACGGGAGTAACTGTTGCAGCAACAAACTTCAGAGCATTAAAGCCCTCAAGGTAAACTCTGATTTTTGAGCAGACTGCCATTCCTCACAACAAAAACATTTAAAAATATTCTGCACTGGAAGGACAAAAAGAAACAATCCTGGTGCCACTATTATTAATCAGTTCAAGACTGAGACACTTAAAGCTCCCTTTCAGGTGCTCTGATTAAGGACAACTTGCCTCACAGGAAAAGCAAAGCTTTGGAAATCAGTAATCTCTGGGCATTATACCTAATAGGAAAAGCTTAAAAAGGATTACCTAGAAGAAACCTTTGTGAATCCTAGAAAACTACACTGGACAATAAATCTCAGCCTCCTCTGAGGATTAATAAAGCTTTATCAGTTTCAGATAAGAAGTAGAAATCCTCAGGCTGCTGAAGAGGTACCACTGGCCCAGTCTGGGGCCTCTCTCAGGACACTTAACATGCCATACAATTTCAACAGAAAGACATATTTGATGCATATTCTCATTTAAGTTTACAAAAGCTATTCAGAAGAATGGCAGCTACATAGATTCCCAAATTTGGGTCACAAAATTTAAGGTAACAGATTAAAGTTAACTGCTCTGAGGAAAGAATTATTTTGCTGAAGATGACATTTTTGGTAACTCAATCAGAATAATAGATACAACAACCTTTTTTGGGTTAATGAACAAATATATATGATAATTTATGTAAAAATACCTCTTAACTCTGTGATTGCAATGAAGTCTAGTCTTGCATAGGATTTTTTTTTTACTACAACCCAAATCATTGAAGATTTCACATCAGCATTCACACTGATCATTTGGAGGACATTAAAACCAACAATGCTAGTTCAAACTTCAGGTGTATTTAGATTGTTAGGATTTTAACATAATTCTGTCTCTTGTTAAACTAAAATTTCAAATTTAGCATAAATTGCATCTTATCTAAGTTATATTTTTGAATGCTGGTTGATTATAATTACTTCTAAAGTGACAGAGTCCAACTCTGAAACGTGCTCAGGTGGAGCTTGAGTGCCACAGTTGTGATCACATAGACTATAGCTGTTGCATTTAGTTAATGCATTCAAAAATCTGGCACTCTTGATTTATCTCTGGTTCTACCATAGGTTACTCTTCAGTAGGTGGGTAGATAATACATCTCTGTGTAGTGTGACTCCTAGATGTGAAATAGGGAATACAGCACATCTGTAAAGATCCTTTGATGGGAGAGGAGCAAATTATTCCATTTTTCACTTTATAGAAGTTACTGAGGATGTATCGTGGCCAGATTGCTACTGTCCAGTGTGCAGAAGGAAGGGCAGGAGCAGATATACCCCTATTTCCTCCCTCTCACTTTGCAGCTAAGCACAGTGAGAGTCTGCTCTTCTAACACTCTCGTTAACCCAGGGAATCACTGGATTAACTGCCAGACTACCATAAATTCTGCTGAAAAACCCTGATGCTACCACATGTGACAAAGTTTGGCAATGACTGCATATCTTGGGCCTAAAGAGAGGAAACCTGGGCCTAGATCAAACACAGTGAACAGACAAGTTATTTTTAGCCAGGTTTTCATGTTATTCTTTTCTTTGGTGAGCTGGCATTAAGGATTTCTCCATTTCTACAAACCCTCCAAATTCATGTTAAACTGACACAGGATTTCTGGAAAACACAAACAAATCAGCACCTTCTGCTAACCCTGAATGCCGCAAAAACCACTTTGCATCACATTGTGGACCTACCCAACGCTGGTCGTAGTCAGACGGCTGTGTTCTTCCTTCATCATCCTCATAGAAAGGTAAGCCTTCTCGCCTGGCCTGATGGTACTCCTTCCGTAACTTCTGGATACGATCAGCATTCCCGCCACCTGCGCAGCCACTGAGAAAAATAAGAAATGCTAAATAAAACTCATATGTACATACAAACATAACACTTAGCAGGTACCCACATGAGCATCCACACAGAATTGCCACACCTGAGACAAATGGATTGTGAACATTTGATTCTCCTGACTCACATGGTGCCCACTGGTCTATATCACCCTTATTTTTGCTGTCTTGTATTTTTAAAGCTGCTAATTGTGAACTCGATTCCCGTTTTTTAAAAAAAGGCTGTCCCTGTCCAAAGAACTTAACAATTCCAGTACAAGACAAGAGACAACAGATGGATGCAGACAGATGGGGGAGCACAAGGAAACTTTTAACATTCCTATGAGCAGCTATAAATGGCTATCATATTTTAATAATAATAATGACGATGATGATGATAAACTGCCAGAAAAATGTTTCCTTTTGCTCCCACGCTAAATGTGGAATTTCCCTAAAATTACATTTGTTCAAGGTAAAGAATAGACTATATTCACACAGGAGCACAGAAAGAAGTTTTATCTTGTAAAAAAACAACCTCCCTCTCAATTATACAAAAAACTAAAACATCAGCCATGACAATACAAGGGAGGCAAGAGAGATGGGAAAGCACACTACTAGATTGTGATGCCATTTTTTTTTTTTTAAGTGGTAATTAAACAGCAGTACACCTAGTAATCCACAAAGACTCACTTGTATGCTGAACTGCATAGACTGCAAACTGCCATGGTAAAGCTAGTGGAGTTGCTTAGTTTGTCAAGTTAAACACATGCCTGTCTTTGTGGGTGCTGACCCTCGTGAGCCTTCCAAAACCTTATAGCTGGACTTGCACAACTGTGAAAGCTCAAGCTATACCTAGAAGGATAACAACAGCAACAAAATCCTGAAAATGTCTAAGAATGAAAAATAGTAAATAGTCACCTTGAAAATGAATAAATTAAAAGTTTCCCACTGCTATTTCCAGCCCTGCTCTAGTCAGCACTGAGGTGAATACTGGCTTTATGGCTCAGTAGTATTTACTTGCATTCACAGGGAATTGTCGTAGAATTTATTTGTGACCGGTCTTAAACTCAGACCATTGTTATTGCAGCACATCATCATCTATTCTCTTAATCTGCAACCTTAACTCTGCCTCACCAACAATGGCCTATAGAGATACAGATTTATTCACACGAGCACATACTCTGCGGAGCATCTTGTCCTGCTGCACTCCTCTATGAATATGTCAGAATCTAGGGAAGTGTTTTATAGGATTCGAATAGCAAATTGAGTTTGGAAAGCACATTCAAAAGATTGGACATAAACCTATCAGTTCAATAATAAGTAGTTTCTAATATCTGACAGCAATCTAGATTGGTTGGAAATTAATTACCAATGAAGGGAAATTCCATCTAGGGTGCAAATGCAACTGAATATGCAGCCAGGATTGGAAATGTTTATCTACAGCATCAGTATGTTTCCATGAAAAACCCTGGATCCTAAGTTATCCAGCACCTCTACTCTAGGAAGTCCCAGAGCTTTCAAGCTTCTCTGGCTGACTTACTGAACTCTTCCAGAGCATACGAATTTTTTCTCATGATCTGCCAAGACAGTGCAGAAAGCTTGCACAAGCTCTGTGGACTACTGAGAAAAAAAAAAGTACATTCCCTTTTCCCCTTGACTCCTTCTACAGATAAATGCCTCTGTTCCTTGCATGAATTCTTGTCAAATAGTGGAGAACCATTTCCAGTTTGAAAAACACTGGAATTGAGGACTAGCTAATGGGGGCTATCACTTAGAACAGCGAAGCTTGGTTCACAGCTCATGAGCAATACAATACCTGTGAAATCCCCTGACTTTACTTGTGAGTACAGATAAAGCATTTAATTAGGGCTGCTAACATACAGATAAAGCCCGAAGCGTTGTCCCTGTTGCTTTGCCAACATCATTACCCAAAGCAGCACTAGCTGAGAGAAGGAAACTGCAATACGGGCAGCGGGTCTAGTTTCATTCCAGCCGACCCGGCTCTCTGCAGCTCCTTCCAAACTCTATTAGCATCTGCCACCAGTGGCCTAGTGGCCACATACCCCCTTTCTACCTCCAGGTATTTTGGCTGAAGAGGTAATCTGAAAATACCATACAGGTGAGGGGTTCCCCCCCCCCCCTTTTTTTCCTTCCTTTTTTTTAATTTTAAAAACGAAATCTGAGATTTATATTGTAAGAGGCAGTAACAGCAGCCTGTGCTCCATTTACTGCAGACCTCCTGTAGGTGAGCTTCCTTCTGCTTAAACCCATCTAGCCAGCAAGTGGAAGTAGGTGCTGCACAGATCAAGCTGATTTTATATATATGTATATAGACTAAAAGACTGGGCCTGACAGCTTTTTCTTTGGCAAACCTCTGCCACACCGTATTAAAGTACAAACCCTAACCATGAGAATGAGTAGGAATGTTTGAATGAAAGATAGCAGCACATGGAAAGTTATCCATCTGGATTAGTGTGAAAACACAAGATAATCTCTGTGGAAACAAGCAGCTCCGTGAAGTCTGATTTCCTGTGCTTCTCTCCTGTGGGTTCTCTGGTGTCTGATAATGGGACTGAGCGCACACTGCATGGTTTCTGCCCCGCGAGGGCATTTGCCTGGGCCTCTCTGGGAGGCTGCTTATTTTCATGAAACTTAGGGATGTGGTATCTTTTGAACATCGATTCACCTGTCAAGTCTGGTCAAAAATGGCCAGCAGGTTCAGCATTTGTTGGAAAGATGGGGGGGAACAGGTTGGAAGAGGGTCGGTACATCAACTTCAATTTTTCAGGAAACAGTTGAAGCTCCACAGCTCTTTTTTTACCTCCATCACTGTTTATAGGCACAAATGGAAAAGACATTGGCTTTTGAAAGAGCTGCATATCTAGCTTACCATGAAAGTTTTACCCACTCCTGAGTAATGTGAGATGAATAGGATGCCCTGTGCAATGCTCATGAAACAGTTCTGAATTTAAAGTTGGCTCCTGACAATTATGTGAATATATGAACCACATTCAAACTCACCAGATGAATTCAATCAGCACTGTGCAAATATCGCATACATAATCTATTAGTTTACCCCAAAGAAACTGAAGCATAGAATTCAAACAGAATGAAGTCATCAGTAATAAAAAAAAGAAACTGATAAGGCAATATTAAAAAAAAAAAACCAACACAATTTTCCAAGATTTGCAGAGAAGATCATACATTGACTGTAAACTATTCTCCCATCTGCCTATAAATACATAATTAAAAAATATTGGTTTGATCAGATAACAGTTCTCAGACAGGGAAACAGCAGATGAATACCAGTTCAAATGTTTCGGATGCATGACTATTTATACTGAAAAGGAACCTGAACTTACAGAAGACATATAAAAACAATACTCCAATCAAAGTCAATTTATATTAAGGAGACTTACTGAAGCTTTTCACCAATCCTAGTAAGTACAGCAGACAGATTCCTTTTACAGTAGCTTTACATCTAATGTAGTGCTCCATCCTCGAGGAGACATAAATATTACAGTCCTCATCTCAATTTTGTGCAGAACTCACTTCCCTGACATGGCTCCCTGCTCTACACGTTCTTCAGAGAACTGTGCAACCACACTTTAGCCATTCCCCTCCACCACCACATGTTCCCAGGCTCTAACATTTCATCTATCCATGGACTTCTCCGTTGTCATGACAAGACTGTAACAGAACTGTCTACTCTGCATTTTGCAATTGATTTCAGAAGGATTTCCTAAAATTGTGCTACACGTAAGAAGACCAATTCAGAAGCAGCCGATACTGGGATAGAACCTGAACCTTTTGGGGGAAGTTTTAAATAATGTCTAGGTGGGGGAAAAAATCTCTGAGAAACTTTACAAAGAGTTTAGTGAAGACTCAGATACTGATTTCAAACAACAGTAACAAAACCTCTCAAAACCCCACGCCACGAACAATTTTATGAGAAGTTCAGCAGTTCTTCGAATAAGCTGCACACACTGCGAGGACTTTTTTGGGAAATAGAAAAAAGAATAATAATCTTACATGAACATTCCTGTCAGCCATTCTGTAGTTTTGCTGAATACAATTCCTTACAAACCAAACCTTTCTTCTGGTCTGGGAGAAAGATAAAGTCTGAGCAATCATTCTAACCCATGCTGCTGAGGCTGTACTACCAACTGGATAAACCACTGCCAGAAATCACCATCTTCTGCCCTGTGCCTGAATCTCTCAAAGGCACTATACAGGTTCCACCTTGCCCACCGTGACCGTAAAGGGACCTGCCACTCAACCGGTACAGTTGGAATAGGCAACCCAAAACAAAAAGGAAACCATAATTTGGCACAGATTTAGCTTCCAGTTATCTCTAACATTACGTAAAATATGACTGTGAAATTTCATCTCATCATCTCTAAGAGATAGATGAACAAGCACCACAGAAATAACACTATATACCCAATATGACAGACAAGTTATTTTTTTCAAAGAATCAAAACATCATCACCAGTATTTAATACGTATGGCTCAGGTTTTGCACAATAAAATCTCCTCTCTCCTCTTCCTCTCAGTTGCTAGTCTGGATTTCAATCATTCAGTTTAAAAATTTAATTTTTTTAAATTAGTGACTTCTTACTGCAGCTCTCTAGATAATACAAAATTAAAAACAAGTGTTGCACGTACAGAGTAAGATGAACCACTTAAAGCTGTATATAAACATACATTTGAAGAGGAAATAAACATTTTGTTTCCAGTGGCTTTCCTAAACACATTAATATTGCACAGGGGTTTTTTTGTCAGCCACTTCTTTCAAACGCTGATTTCACCCAGCTGACTGTCAGGCTCTAAACAAACAACTAGTGCTTCCAAGTTAAACAAAAAAAGAAAAAAAAAAAAAGAAAAAAAAGTTATTCTTTGAGTGAATTTTCCATTAACAAACAAAACCAAGACAAAATGTGATTCACAGACTCAAGAGAATGGACAATCTTCCATTCACAATCTGCTATAAAACAATACTAATTTTAT